ATATTAATCATAAATATTTGATAGAAAGAATTTTCTGTTTTAGGTATTTTCGTTAGCTTAAATTTGTAATCATGGACTTGATTGGAGCTGTAATTACCTCTTGTGTTCCTGCCAGGCCATGGCTGAGGACATATCAGTCCCTCTGAACTACTATGCAGTGTTTAGCCACCTCCAGCAACTATTGCCTTCAGACTGCATCATCGTCAGCGAGGGGGCCAATACCATGGACATTGGTCGCACATTTCTGCTCAATAGGTAAGAACTGCAGCATTAGCCAATTAACAGAGGGTCAAAAATTTGGTTAGTGGCCATTGTCGCTGAGTTGTTGGCGTGCATCAATAGTTTCCCCTATTGGTGCCCAGCTCATTCAGTAGTTTACGGGCAGCATTAAACACCTAAAGCTTGTATTTTGGTATTTAAAAAAAAAAGGTTTAACTTCACTTTAGGGGCTATTGTCTAAAATGTTCCACCATAGAAATGAGGCCACTAATATCAGAGAAAAACAAGCTCTATCTTATGAGCCAACATCAATGGTCATGATGCAATGCCACCCACTACAGCCATGGCATGTGTGTACGTGCCACCAGGTGGCAAGAGGTTTAGTAATGGAATCCAGAAAAAATTCTAGAGTTTGAGGCCAGCATGCGATCAGAAACTGCTTGTTTTTACATTTTGTAAAGACCAAAAAAGTAGGGGTAAAAATGACACTTTAATGTGATAAATAGTGATGGATAATGTTTTAGATGGAAGAGGACAAAATGGATTACCTAGAAGGATAGGAACATAATGATAATCTAAGTAGAATGGAGGTTGAAGTTGCAGTAGAGAAAAAAGCAGAAAAGGACATCCAGTCTTGGAAAATTAGGCCTATGTGAGAATAGAAATTAATATAAGTTAGATGTGTATATTAAGATTAGAAAATTGCCAGAAAAAAAACTCATGTGTGTCTGTACCTTTACATAAAACCAACAAAGTATTTTTATTATCATTATTATTTGAATTATTCATACTATTACAACGGTAGTATGTTGCAGAAAATGTTTATGTTGAGGACCTCAAATTTTACCAGGATATGTTCATTGCTGAGAAATATTTATAAGCCTCATCTTAATAGCCAAAGGATTATAGAATGGTTTGGGTTGTTTAATTATATCCATTATTTATTGATACATGCTTAACCATTACCTCAGTGTTGTTTTTTATCTTAAATTTGTGTTTTTAAATATCTGATTGCACAGACAACAAGTACCAAGCATTTTAAAACTCACACCTTTCTTTACCATTTCCATTGCCAGGCTTGCACGCCATCGACTTGATGCAGGCACTTTTGGGACCATGGGGGTGGGTCTGGGCTTTGCCATTGCCGCAGCCCTCTATGCACGAGACCACGCCCCAGGCCAGAGGGTCGTGTGTGTTGAGGGTGACTCGGCATTTGGATTCAGCGGCATGGAGTTGGAGACCATTTATAGATACAACCTCCCCATCGTCGTTATTATCATCAATAATAATGGTGAGTGTCATGAATGTTTTTGGAAAGTGCTTTGTAGAATGGGTTTACTTGGTGGAGGTCTGTTTTTTGTGCTTGATGTGCACTGTTTACCGTCATATATGATTGGGAGAATCCATTTTTGAGTTTATGAATGTAATTTTGTCTTTTTTAAAATGGTTCAGGTTGACATTGTGTAATATAGGGATGTTTTTTTTATCACACTGATCTTACACTCTTCCCATTAAGGTATCTATGGAGGCCTAGACAAGGAACTCTTCCAGGACATCCGCGATGGAGTGGATGTCACCCTCGCAACGCCACCTACCTCACTGCTGCCAAGTGCACGTTATGAACGCATGGCCTCTATCTTTAATGAATCAGGACACCTCTGCACCACTATCCCGGAGCTGGAGTCTGCTGTCAACCTGTCTCTTGCCGAATCCCAAAAGCCGTCACTGATTAATGTGCTGATCAACCCCATGGCACAACGCAAGGCTCAGGACTTCGATTGGCTCACACGGTCAAAGATTTGAGCAAAGACACATTATTCCAACTAATTTTATGAATTATTCCCCAAGAAATGCAATGAACAGTTTGATACAGCATCTTCAACAGAATGAAGGGCAGTAATGTAATGTGGATTACTCATTTCACATTCTAGAATTATTCATTCTCATTTATCCTTATTCTCCAAAAAGGGGGAGTATGAACAAATGACATGAAAGTATTAGGATACACATAATAGTAAAATATTAATCATCATCAGAGTTACTTGGAGAATATGAGTTACATGCCTTGCATATTACCATTATTAATTTTTATACAGATTTGTCATCAATAATTTTTCATCTTTCTTTACCTAAGGACAAAGAGATTTTATTGATAATGTAGAATATGCTTCAGAACCAATGTATTAGCTTTAGTGTAAGAAGATTCTATAATATAGTTGTATAGTTTTATGAATTATTATTTTCAGATTTTATTGTTCATATTAAAAGTGAACCGAGCATACAATCTTTCATATTCCTTTAGTTTTTGAAAATTGGGTAATTGATATATGAATTATATGTGGACCCCTCGAAAAGAGATAAATAGAGGGTGCAGTGGCTGAGGGGTTTGAGCACTGGACTCAAAGACTCTAATGACAATCTTCAGTTTGAGAGTTCGAGTCTCAGACCGTGTTGTTCCCCCAGGCGAGGAACAACTCAAATGCTTACGGCCCACATCTAATATGTGGCTGGTGATAGCAAGAGCATGCAACGGTAAAATCCCTGCTTCACCCTTTATGCTGGATGATACATTGCAAAGGAGACTTAGCGCAGGGCAGACCAGTTGGTGGAAGCGTATTTGAATGACCAACCCTACTAGAGAATGAAGAAGAAAAGTGACATAAAAAAATGTGTTGAAATCAATGTATTTCCGTTGAATTTAAAGAATATTAGATGAATGAGGATGCGATGAACTTCATGCATATTATTATTTGATCCCACTTCATAAACGCAAAAAACGAATGATGTAATAGTGATTCCAGATGAAAAGCTTCGAAGGGATTTTGTAACATAAGCCAAAGGATTTTGTTTTGTGGATTTCTGTCATCTCTCTCTCACTCTCAGTGTATGAATGTGTGTGTGTGTGTCTGTATATATATGTATATATATATTGTAACAATCCCGCTTGTTGTACAGTGTAGTACAATGTAGGTTTATAGTACAAGTACGATAATGCTTAAGACGTCTAGGAGAAGTAGCGGAATAATTACAATAAGTACTGAAAGTAGGTTACATTATAGCTTATGAATTAGTATATTATTTAGCTTTATTTTATTTAATTCAAACATTTCTGATTTATTATTAAATGTACTTTTGAATCATTAGTTAATTATGAAGTTATTGTTCAGTATGCTTTTGTTCAATCAGTATCTTTCAATTACTCGTTTCAGAATTATTCAGTTATTCCAGTATTGTTTCTTATTTCTATTTTATTTATTTAGTGCTCTTATTTAGTTATTCTTCATTATACATATATCCATTATCCAGATATAATTGATTATAGAGTGTCCAATAGTGTATTTTCTCACTTAAGATTATATTCTCATTTAATGTTTCTTAGTATTATCAGAGTATGTTTATCTCAAATAGGTTTATTTAAATTGAACTATATTTCACACAAGTTTAATTATTTAATTAATTATTTTATACACAACAAAACATTCAATATCTTATAAAAAGAACATACACCATGAATGATTAGTAGAATTTCTTCCGTAATTCTGAATACGCACACGTTTTCCACTTAAACACCGGATAATCGCATAATTTATATTAACACCAATAACACTAGAACACCACCACTTATTTCCCTTATGTTCCACCTCATACCCTAACGCATGAATACGATACATATAAACATCACCAGTATACTTAGCAGTGATAAGGTTCCAGATGTATAAACTCTTAATTTTCAACGTTAGTCCACCGCTTACACGTGTACCTGGGAGTGAAGTGAGCAATGGCCGCTCAGACGAGACTCTCGTTTTCTGTCCACGTCGCCCCCCAGGTAGACTGCTGCGCCCCCCGCTTCGAAACCTCGGATTCGCGAATCCTCATGCTCGACGCACAATACGCACAACAGTTTTCTAACGCATTCTTGTAATCATTTTATTGCGCACAGGCCGTGAATTTGATGAGATTATAATAATATACACACACACAGACATATATCTATCTATCTATCTATCTATATACATATGTATATATATAATATATATATAAAAATAGATAGATAGATAGATAGATAGATATATACACACACACACATATATGTATATATATATATATATATATATATATATATATATATATATATATATATATATATATAGCCACAAAGATAAATGAAAATAAATATACATATATATAATGTATCTATAAAACACACACACACACACACACACACACACACACACACACACACACACACACACACAACACACACATATATATATATATATATATATATATATATATATATATATATATATATATAAAGAATGAAATTGAATACAGGTTAATCGTCAAAAGTGGTGCTTTTATATCCTTTTTATTTCATAAAGTTTTTTTTTTATGATATCTATTTTTTTCAACGTTCACGATTATATTTTTAGCCATACTTTCCTCAAAGATGACAACAGCTAGCAAAAGGATTTGGAAAAATACTCGGGAATATATGTCATCCTTTGGTGCATCACTTCCGAACAGATGAATATTAAAAAGAACAAGTTAATTTTTGTCATAGAATCAAGGGATTGTTAATCGAAATGTGTGTGTGTCTTTGTGTGTGTGTCTTTGTGTGTGTGTGTGTGTGTGTGTGTGTGTGTGTGTGTGTGTGTCTTTGTGTTTGTGTATGTGTGTGTGTTTGTGTGTGAGTTTATGTGTGTGTTTGTGTGTGTGTATGTGTGTTTGTGTGTGTTTGTTCTTGTATGTGTGTGTGTTTTTTTTTTTTTTTTTTGCATGTGTGTGTTTGTGATTGTATGTGTGTGTGTTTGTGTGTATGTGTGTTTGTATGTATGTATGCGTGTGTGTTTGTGTTTGTATGTATGTGTGTGTGTGTATTTGTGTCTGTGTGTGTATGTGTGTCTGTACGAACAAACAGAGAGAAAGAAATAATATTGACAACGGTGCCAACGTGTTAACTGAGCCATACTTTTATTAAATACATATGTATAGGAAAATAAAATAAAATGATATTTACAATGATACTTGCCAGCTGACATGCGTTTAATAAATGTATATTTCCATAAAAGTAGAATAACATAAAGAACATTAACAATGGCGCCAACGTGTTAACTGGCGTCGCGCGGATCGATCTAAAGCCTTAATAAAAATAATAAGTTAGAAAAAGAAGTTTTATTGTCCTGCCCTGTGAGCTTGAGTTCTGCATAATGGATATTTAGTCTCCGGTTAGGTAGCTGTTCAGTGAATTTATGTTTATAATGTCAATTTAGCACTTCAGTAAGGAATGTTTTTAACCCAAATGTTCCGGTCGTCGGCTTATGCCGACGGCCGGCAAATACATATTTTTTCCGGGCGTCGGCATGAGCCGACGATGATCTTCGACGGGTTCAGGACGGGACCGACCTGCCGTCGGCCATAGCCGACCGTGAAATTTTATCCTCGGCGTTCACATGGAGATGTGTTATCCCCCCTCCCTTCCCCCACTGCCGTACATGACAAAAGTTTCTTTTTTTTCTAACTGCAATTCACTAATCCGTGTGTTAGCAATAAGATCAGCTTCTCACCCTCCTCCCCACTGGCTGTAACCATCTGATAGTAGTTAGCACCTCGGGATTTGCACCCATGCTCGAACTTTAAGATGATGCAAATTAAAACCTGATGCATAAGTAGAAGGATAAAATGGGCTCGACTCCTGGTACAATGCTAAAAAAGGAACTGATACAAAATATGAAAATCCCAGCTCGCTCATTAGCGTAATTACAGGATCACCGGCGCTGCCGCCAAAATATGTTGTAGAGTTACTTTCATCTACGCCACTACATTAAATCCTCAAGTCCGTATAACCCCTTCATGATTAGGATTCTTCACGTGATCAACATTCCCTTAATAGACATAGGCAATAGTAGCGTGGCCCGAAATTAAGGGAATAGAATTAAGACAGAGTAATTAAGGTCGTCTAAAAGAACCAGTTCCATATTCACTTTATTAAAATGATAAAAAAAAGGAAGCGACACATACATCTTGATAAGGCACCATCAATGTATAGGAATTGTATGTCCATGTGGTTATTTACCCCTTTGAGCCTGTACTTGTCTTGACACGGCGCGACCACCAACACCTGACGAGCTGGTTCGGTCACCAAAAAAGCAGCGTAAAATGAGCCAGACGCCGCCCCCCCCCCCTTAAATAGACTTTTCCTGAGTTGTCAAGAGCTCTTTTACAGGCAATTGTGATTGGCTGCTTGCTATGAGGGAGAACCACATAAGTACTGACTGACTTATACAGGGTGCCACATGATACATTTATTATTGCTACAGTATTGTGTTCGTCCCGGCACGGAGCATCCTCAGCGCGTGCAGGGCGGTGACGTCATCCCGTATCGAGGGGCATCCTCGCGCTTCTGGGGCGGCGATGTCATCTCGCGTCATAGGGCATCACTACAGAGAGAGAGAGAGAGAGAGAGAGAGAGAGAGAGAGAGAGAGAGAGAGAGAGAGAGAGAGAGAGAGAGAGAGAGAGAGAGAGAGAGAGAGAGAGAGAGAGAGAGAGAGAGAGAGAGAGAGAGAGAGAGAGAGAGAGAGAGAGAGAGAGAGAGAGAGAGAGAGAGAGAGAGAGAGAGAGAGAGAGAGAGAGAGAGAGAGAGAGAGAGAGAGAGAGAGACGAGAGAGAGTGAATAATAAAGGCTAAAGAAATATACTTAGAGAGAGATAAAGGAAGTGTGACGAAGAGCTAGGCAAGGTTGAATATAAGGTAAACAGAAAGAGACAAAGAAGAAAGAGAAACAGAGAAAAAACAGAAATTGACATTCTTATACGTAAAGAATAAATAGAGGAAATAAGAAAGCACTGAGAAAACAGAAAATAAAGGAAGAGAGAGAGAGCAATGTCAAGAGACAAACAAACAAACAAAAAGAGATGATATCAACACACACCATGAGACCTTTCTACCTGCAAACCATACAGTCTCATCCAGGTAAATGAAGACGCGCATTCACCAACCTCACCCATTCTGACATTACACTATAACCACGAGATAGAACGAAGCTCTGACACCGGCTTTGTGCTTCAGGGAAAAGCTCTTTGCATCGCCAACAGGACACTCCAAGTCACGGCGTAAATGTTAGGCATGCTTCTGAAGTTTCAATATGAATAGGCAGGATATTCTCTCGCTCTTTTATAGATGTATTTCGGGGGATGCATTTCTTTCTCTCTCTCTCTCTCTCTCTCTCTCTCTCTCTCTCTCTCTCTCTCTCTCTCTCTCTCTCTCTCTCTCTCTCTCTC